TACTCATGAACATCACTAACATAAAGTTTTGGACTTTGAGGGATTTACAAACTATGAATAGCGGTTGTTACGAAAATCATCTCATCATTTGTATAAGACTGTTTTGTGAGGCTTGCTTTTGAAGTTGCTCTGCGTTGCTATAAACTGGCCTAATACCTTCATTAGTGACAATGGCATAGAAGCTTTGTAAATGAAACTAGAAAAGGCTTATAAGAATCTTTGTATACCACAGGGCTGGGAGGGCCAGAAGCGCCTAACTATCTCTAATTAGGGTTCTCCAGCAAACCAAGCTGAATTGTATGCTATTCCCCATTAACCCCCACAAGTCCCATAGGCTGGAAGAGAATTTGGTTTGGATCATGACATGCTTTTACAGTGGCTGTATGATTGGCAGCCTTGATGTTGTTTCTAGTAAGTTTATGGCTGAAGCCAGACTATAGAAAGTTTGAGTACTAAGAAACCACATAAAGCAACTTTGCAGCAGAGAGCTTGAATTTTACATTTCAATTGCATCTCTCCTGGGAGGGCACATTCATCCTTCTCCTTCATTCCCTTCCCCCTCCCCCCTTGTCCCTTCTCCCCCCATATGACTGAATACGGAAGAACTGAGTCAACTCCTTGCTGAAGGTTCATCAGTGCTGATGTTCTGAAGATATGAATGCGAACTAACATCTGGAATACTCTGAATTTGCTCTGTGTCTGGCTCTTCCAGCACAGGCATGTGAGGGCCCAAAGAAAGGAGCACAAGAGACCCATTTGGATCAGTAATTGCTGTCTTCAGAATAAAGGCGCAGTCCTGAAAAGCTCTGGTTGTTTTGAGAAATAGCTTTGTTCTTTCAGCTTCCTTGAGCTTGTGTCTCACTTTAATCAGTAATACAAGATTCTGCCTTTATAACTTAGTTTGCTTTTTTTTTCTTTGCTTTTTTTTAAAAATCTTTTTAAGAAGCTAAGACTTCACAACAATGTATGATTGATAGTTCAACATGCTCTTAAGCAGAGCAAACTCTGCATGGAATAAACCATTGTGTTTTCTGTTCCCACTTAGAGTGAGTATTCTCAATGCAGTTACAGACTAGACATTATTTGTTCTAGGTATAGTAAGCATCCCACTCTGTTAATATGCTTCTAATTGCTTTGTACAGGTACTTGTTTGAGTATAACAGGTGGTCTGAATGTCAAGAACCTCATAACATTGTGCAGTGGAATGTCACCCTCTTTTCCATCCTTCTTGTCTTGGGAGCAATAGAGTTCATTCTGTGCTTCATACAGATAATCAACGGCATTCTTGGAGGACTGTGTGGGTTGTGCTGCAGTCATGAGGAGGTAAGCCATTTGTAGTTATAACCATACTTTTTTTGGATATAAGGAGGAAGTTTGGGTATAAAGAGGAAGTTCTTTACTGTAAGGGTGGTGAGGCACTGGAATGGATTGCCCAAGGAAGTTGTGAATGTTCCATCCCTGACAGTGTTCAGGGCCACGTTGGACAGAGCCTGGGATGGCATGGTTTAGTGTGAGGTGCCCCTGCCCACGGCAGAGGGGCTGGAACTAGATGATCTTAAAGTCCTTTTCAACCCCAACTATTCTATGATTCTGTGATTCTACTTCCCAGATGAACTTCAAACACTTGTTACTGTTGTTACTGTGGAATCTTACTTAGTAGCTACTTCATAGGTATTCTTAAACAACAATTCAGTGTACAGGTTTTCTTAAAGCCCCGTTGTGTTTAGCGTTTTCATGTAGTGTTTGACCACATGACTTCAGCTGATCCCTCACCTGTCACAGCGAAGTTAGGCTGCAGAAAAGCTGGAAGGCTTTTCCCCTCCCTGTGGCACATGTTGTCATCGGCACTATATAGGTGCGATATACCTGAAATGCAAATCTCCTGGTGGTGTTATTTGCCAAAGCCTAAACTATTGTTGCATAGCGTGCTACAGTTTTGTAGTAGGTTACTTGTTCTAGTTATATTGCTTTAGCTGTGTATTTTGCTCACATGCAGCAGATGTATTACTGAGAATATACAGTAATGAAAACCACAGCATCTGGCCTTGCTAAAGGGAAAGAATTAAATTGCACATAGCTAACAAAACGTGCAGACAGATCTGATGAGTTTTTTGAAGGAAGGGGTGTTTTTTTTTTTAAGAACAGAAATTTTTCTAGACTTCTTTTGTGTCCTGTTAAACGGTTTGAGTATGTTGTTAAAATTGGTATCATAGTGATGGAACTGCAGTATCTTAAGGTATGAACCAGATGTGATTTATATCACATACATTATGACTAAGAACATTTCATATTTTTAATTGACATAGTTGAATGCTGTGGTTTTATCAAAGCTATTACTGTCTTTCACTCCTGTCTGCCATGCTGTAACTGCAGTATAAAAGAGCCATGCTAAGGTTGTCTAAATGTAGCCAGGTTAATTTTAGCTCTTGTGGTTGAATATAATATTAGCTTTCTTCCCCTTAATAAGTCTCTTTCTTTTTGTTTCCCCCACAGACATACGCTTGCTAGAAACTTGACAATGTATTGACGTCGGTACATATGTGTGATGTATTGAGATATCTGTGGGGTTTTGCGGGTTTGGAAGTTTGGGGTTTTTGGTTTGTGGGTTTGTTTTTTTTGGTTGGTCGGTTTTGGCTTTTGGGGGGGGGTGGGAGGTTGGGCATTGTTTTTTTCTTTTGTTTTTACATTCCATGCTTACTAAAATGCATGTGGTTTGTTGTCAAACTGTGCTATTGCCATCAATTTAACTGACTTGGGGCCACCCTTTGTTGTTAGTCATGTGCGTGTTTTCCACCAACCTGCCTGTATCTAAAGCCAAAATGTATCCTGAATTTCTCTGGTTCATTTCATTTTAGTATGGGCAACTGCCTGAACATATATCACTATAGATGTTGGGTTTGTGCTTTTTCTTTCTACTGACAAAATGGCTCTGTACTTCATGTTGTTTTCCCAGTGAAGTTGCACTTTATTGGAATGAGCACAAACCCAACCTAGTATGTCCTGTATATAAAGGAATACTAGGCTGGAGCAAAAATAAAGCAGCAGTAAAATGTGGGTTATTGAGGGTAGATCTATGTGCTTCACCTCTTCAGAAGTTTTCTGAAGTTCTGTGTTTCACAAATAAAGATTTATATTAAAAACACCCTGCAGGTGTTGGTGATTCTTTCCCTGCCCCTGCTAAAACACTGCTTTCCTTGTCTTAGTGTAAAAAATAGTGCAGCATTAAAACATGAATGTAAGGCAGTCAGGTTATAACCTATTTCTTCTCTCCAGCAGGCTCTGTCAGAGTGGGAACTGCTTCACTCTTTGGTTTAGATCATTTAGCTGGGCCAGGCAATTGTGCATCAACAAGGGTATGATACTTCAGTGACAGGTACGGCTCTGTGACAGATAAAACTATCTACATGGACTCTTAGTCCTGCGTCTGGGCTAGTAGTTATTTCATTGCTGATGGCCATCCCAGGGAGCAGAGGGGGGTTCCCCTGAAGCTGAGCTATAGCTCGAAAACATACCAGAAACTTGAGGTGTGTCTCAAGCTGTTCTCACAGCCCAGTCTGCCGAGTACAGAAGTATATCTGAAAAGATAAGTTAACTGTGAAGATGAAATTGCACATATGCATCCACAGCAGCAAAAGAACTCACAGATGGGAAGAATTTGTGTTTAGCATCTCAGGATATCCACTTCTTGCAATGTCGTTTATTCATACATAAACACATAGAAACAGTTGAGGGCAGTCTTTCATACTTTACTGCGACTGTTTATTGTATTTATCTGTGTCTTGCCCTGCTAAGAAGAGAATATGTGCATGTACATGTGTATACACACAAAATTCCTTGCAGCTTTGAAGCACGGTGTCTTTATATATGAAGAAACACTCTTTGAAGAAAGCTCTGCAAGTTTAAATTAACAGTAGAGTGAGAGGAGGAGGAAGAAAAAAGCCTTGGGTGGCATGGTTTAGTGTGAGGTGTCCCTGCCCATGGTAAGGGTTTGGAACTAGGTAATCTTAAGGTCCGCTCCAACCCTAACTATTCTATGATTCTAAGAAAAGAGGGTCTTGATGGAAAGGGCTTAATTCCCATGCAACTTACAGATTTGTTTGCTTTCATGCTTACGTGGTTGTTACTTGTCTTTCTGGCACACACAACTAATTAAAGAACCGAATCAACTTTAGAAATTCCAATGGACAGAATGATTAGGTTACAGTTTAAAACTAAAATTTTAGCTCAGATGCATGCAGTGCTAATGCACAGTATTAGTACTCATTGCTTATGTTGTCATTTAAAAAAAGGCCAGTTGAATTCCTTTGTTGCCATATGCATAAGACAGTGGTTTGGGAGTTTAATCAGTTTATCATGGAGAAGAGGTTGGTTTTAGGTTAAGTCAGTTAGCAGAGAAGTCACTCATCCAGAGTAAACATGGCTTTTCGGTAATGGGCTTGGCATCAGCTTTTGGATATTGACAGCAACAGGAAAGCAGTTCTTGCAACACTTGGTAAGATATTTGAGAAACTGATTCCTAGGTTTGCATAATACTTAGTGTAAAATGGAGTGGATTTTGGTTTTGGTTGGGTGGGTTTTTGTTGTTTTTTTGTTTTGTTCTGGCAATATAGTGTGCCAACAAAAATACACGCCTTGATTTGGTATTTGCAGAGCTCAGTTTAAGTACAAAATAAGTCATGATGTAGACTGCTATACTGCAGAAAAAATGCTGTCTCAGATGTCATTTTCCATGTTTCTTTAACCAGAGTACATTACTGTGGGAAATAGCAGCCAATTACATTGTTTCTAGCTTATTACATGATCTCTGAGTTTTTTAATAAAAAAATCAGTCCTGGGGATGTGACGTGCCTGCTTCTAATTCAGCTGTCTAATTCAGCTGTTTTTTCTGAACTGTAAGGCATAGTGTTGATGATATGAGTTCTGTCCATGCCTGTGAGCCTGCAGAGGGAGGTTTGATGCTAATTTTTATTAGAGGGAATCCTGATAAAAGTGTCCAGTGATTAGGGAGTAAACCAGGAATATGGGAAAATCCTCAGATTAAAGTTTAAGGACTTCAAAATGAAACATCCTAGAAAAAGAGGGGGAAATGAAGAGTCACAGCAGAGAACATGTAGAAAAAGGGTGTAATTGCATGAGTACCACCATGCCCATTTCCTTGGATGATCTCATTCAGAGCAATAGGAAGGAATTAGTTTCAACATGCAACCCAGTTTTTTTATGAGATCATGTGTGCAGAGCCTGAAACAGCTATTGAAGAAACAGAACGAAAATATGCCATGACATCATTGCTTCTAAAATCAGCCTTCTTGCCTTTGATAAAGCCCATATATTTTTGTTCTCTGACTGTGACTTTCCTATTGAGTAAACCCAAAGCTCATTCTTCAGTTATTTTTCTGATGACTCATGGGGTGTTTTAGTGAGGCTGCCCCAAGTTAGCAGCAAGTGTTGGTTCACCCTTAGGGTGGTATCTGCTAAACTCTGGTATTAATTCTCTGTAGTGTAAGGCAGTGTGGACATACTCATCATTTGACAGCCCCCCTTCCCTATATAAGGTATAGGAAAAATTTTGGCTTCAGTAAGGCTGAGCAGCCTCCCTTCTGTCACAGAGTATCTACATCATAATCTGTGTTCTCGGGAGGAGTGCATTTCTAAGCAGTTGCTAGGAAATGAGGTTTTAAGTTCCTTCCTGAGTCTAATTTCTTGACATATTTTATTTGAGAGATCACAAAGGAGTATCTTTTAGAAGGGCAACTGCTACTTAAAGACACACGCTTAGAAAGGACAATGAGTTTAGACAGTGATACGCATCTATTGTTCTGCTAACTGTTAAGCACTTCTCTCTCTGGAATCATACCCCAGTCATCCCGTTCCTGTGAATATGAAATGACTGAATCAATCTGAGGAGGTCAAAAAGCCTTTCATATCTAAAAGCTTGTAATCTTCTGTTAGCTTAGAAGAGCAAAACTTCTGAAGTTCCTGAGATGGCTTTAGAGACATGTGGAAACTGTTTGAGTTGTCTGTTGATACCTCTTGCACTTTGGAGTATTGTTGTTAACATCCTATTATACTTCCCTAATGGGAAAGCTTTGCATGCCGCCAGTTACCAGCTTCCCAACTACGTGTGGTATTTTGAAGGGATTTGTTTCTCAGGTGTGATGGTAAGTGTTGATTCTATGAATTTTTAATGAATTGCATCTTACTGCAAGTAATGTTGGGTTCCTGTGCAGCAGTATAATTGTGCTTTTAAAGAGAGTATGGATTACTTTCACAAAAACAGTGCAGGCAGGAAAGACTTGATCAAACTGAAATAAATGTGAATATCCTGAATGATATGCTGTGTATACTACTTAATTTCATGTAAGTGGTTTTGCAATGTTGATTGTTTCTTCTGCTGGCTTTTTGTTTATGTGTCATTTATGTTTGTATTGCGGAGCCAGGCACTGTGTTGATTTAATCCTCTGTGGAGGCTGAGTTAGAACTCTTTTACGAAAACAAAATGTAACAAAACCTAAAAAAGCTGCGCATAAACGCTTAGATGCTTTTAAGAGCTGTGTGCAGTCCGGTATTTAGAGGACTGGATACAGTTCACAAGGTATCAAGTGCCGCTGTTGTTAGGCAAAATGCATAAGATTATCTCACTCTGATGGGCATATTGGGATTTTCTCCATGACATTTGTAATATGTTCATCTGCAGTAATATGCTAACACAGATGTGCCCACTGCTCGTACTGTTTGCTATGTTCATAAAGAACTATAGGCTCAGGCACAGAAAGCAGGTATGTAATAAACATGCATAAGGGGGTTTTATGAAGGTGCTGAACTGGGAGAGTTATTAAAATGTGAGATATTCTTTTGAAATTGTGTATTCTTAAAAGAAAAGCCTTGTCTTTTCTAGTGAAAAGCATCTGGCAGAAAATTTGAACAGAAAAGTGTAGTTGAAAATTTGGGAAAACGTTAACTGTGACAGTGACATTCACATTTTGAAGCATTTTTACCCTTTAAAATATAAACAGAGCATAACAGATGCAGTCCCTGTCTTCCATAGGTGGACACTTTGGCTTAGTATCTCCAGTCATTTCACTGACCTTATAATGTCCCCTTACAGATCCTTCTGCTGGCGGTAATTCTAATAATACTGGAGTGTAGTGTGTTCTATCGGTGCTGTCAGAGTGAGAGCTGTAACAAAACCTACAGGGTGAGTCTGTGTTTTGTTTTTGTGCATATCTTCAGCATTATTTCTGAGTACCTTCCTGTTCTTGTGTTTCCGGCACATCCTTTTGCCTTCTCATGGCAATGTTTCTACTTCCTTTTACTGAGGATTCGAAGTTGGATTGAGAGTTGGAATTGTAGCTCCTTCCTTCTGATGCATAAGCAGGATGAAAGAAAACTAAACAACAAAAAAAATGCAAACAAAAAAAAAAAACCAAACCCCCAAAAACACACCATAAAAAAATCCTTGTAAAAGAAAATTGGAACATAGAAGGCCTGAGAGCTTCAACGAAATGCCCCAACTAAACAGCTTCATCCTCTTGCTTGCATTTGGAAGTTATTTTTTCCAGTAATGACTCAATACACACTGTCTGGGGTGCAAACTTATTTAGTGCGTGATTGTGTTCCTGTCACATTTTGGGAAACAGTTGTGAAACAATGCAAGTTAAAAAAACCCAAACAAACCCCAGAAACAAACAGCAAAATAATATTTAACTGAGAGTTGTGAGACTGTCTTAAACTCTGTCAGTCTTTATTTGATGTGTGTATGTTTACTGTTCTGTACCTGATATTTTTCTTTCTGAATTTTAAAGACTGGGCAAATCAAGTGTGAAATTCAACCTCAAGGAAGTAGCTAGGCAGGCTGAATGACTATTTGCTGTGGACACTGTTCCCACACAGTAATTTTTTTTTCCCCCCTCTTCAGAGTTTTATATCAATTGTGCTGACCCTGCTTGGAGTTGCTTTCTCTGGATATAGTTGCATCATTTTTACCTTGGGGTTGATCCAAGGCCCCTTCTGCAATTCATCAGATGGATGGGATTATATCTTCAAAGACACTGCTGGAGGGTAAGAAACATCAGTGTAAATCCCTGGAAGAAACTGTTTGTCAAAACAATAGTCTAATTCTCTTGGAGTTTTATACAAAATATCATAGTCTCTTGAACACAAGACCTGTATTGGTGAGTGAGGTTTTTCAACTCGTTGAATGAATACCAGAACATTCAAAGAAAGGCATTTGCTTCCTTGTAAGGAAAGATTAAATGTAAGAATCTTTGCACTGATCAGAACTGAAGGTCCATTTAGATAAGTGTCCTTTATCTGGTGATGGTTACAGTCACAGATAGTGAAAAAATGTAAGATTAGAGTGACTGTAGATGGATACTTTCTCAGTATATTCCCATGAATTCTTCAAGTTTTTGAATCATAGAATCATAGATGGCATTTTTATATTTAATAACTCACTAGGTTTCTCTTGAACTCCTAAAACCCAGTGAACTCTGTGGTTTGATCAATGGTAGTTTTAGCATAAAGCTGCTGTAGCTCAAACACTGAAGTAAGGCAGACAAAGTGTTGTATGTGTCCCAGCCTCCAACAGGCATGGAAGGTTGATTCAGATCAGTAACCTGAGACTGCTTTCACAAGATTTTATGTTCTCCAGTTAAAAGGTCAGAATTTTATAAGGCTTGAATATTTCAAGTCATATAATGCCAAGGTCTTCCAGCCGCATTTTAATGCACTGAGGATTAAATTTGTCAGAGGGTCACAAACAAGTTCCTTGAGCATCCAACAGGGTAGTTCCTAAACTGTGGCCTTCTCTGACTTAACTCAGCTTTATTTTAAAACAGGGAATTGTATCCTGCAATACATCACCAGCACTGCCATTCCCATCTGGAAATACAAAAAGGAGAACTTGAGTTCAACATAAAGGGCCAGATGCTGAATACTGCACTCCAGATTTCCCTAAAGCATTTCAGTTATGAATGTTCAGGAAAAAAGCAACTGACACTAGGCTAGTGAGTCTAAGGTTTTGCAATTAACCTTCAGGCTATAGCATGTCTTGGTTAAAAGGGCACGTGTTTGTTGTCCACATTATGATCCTCAAGGATGCAAAGCGTGGCCCTAGAAAAACTGAAAATTGCACATGTTGACACTTACCTCAGCTCTGCCATTTAGGCTGCATGTGCTGGTTGGATTGATACTGTTGGGTGTTCCTTCTCTCTGCGTGGAACTGATGTCAGCTGGCCTTCACATAAAGATGAAATTAAATCAGGGAAAGGAAAATTCCCATTTTAGACTTGGCTTCTGCCATTTGAAAAAATGTGTCTTTCTAACACTTGGGTGTCTAACAGGGAACCTACTGAAGCAGATGTATTTGAGGAAAATGAGTGTTATCATGCAGCTGAGTTTGATAAACCTAGGCAGGAGTTATGCTAGCGTAAAGAAAGACTAGAGTCAGGCTCCTAAACTCGAAACATATAAAGCCCAATATGGGTTTTATACAGATTATAGATGAAATATGTGTATTTAAATTGAATTACGCTCATCACGTTTAATTTACTTTGCATTGCTGTTTCTCTAACAGGTACCTCACAGATTACACTGCTTGGTCTCGGTGCACTGAACCTGCTAACATAGTGGAGTGGAATATCATCTTGCTCTCTATTCTGATTGCTCTTAGTGGACTGCAGTTGATCATCTGTTTTCTCAAAGTTGCTGCTGAGTTGAAACGGACACTCTGTGGGACCTACTCTGTTTTTGTCCAGGTAACAAAATACCAGAGGTGATTTCTTCAGCCATCTTCAAGTCAGCTTAGCTTCAGCTATTTCTCTCAGTTGAGGACATACCCTTTCGGTTTATGCTTTCTTTATGCTGCCACGTTTTTTTACCAGAGGATATGTACTGATAATAAATCTAATGTGTTTAATTCATCCACTAATTCCTTGTGTTATACAGGGATCGGTGGCTGCTCACTCTGATATTTAAGGCTAGGATTGAGAAGGAAGAATGTGTCTGTCAGTTCAGTGCTGATGCTGAGTCCATTACTCCTATGTCAGCAGAGCCTTCTGAGTACCTTTCTTGTAGCATTCAATGTGTTCAACGTTCTTATCAGTGTGTGAGTTTCACAGCAAACAAGAAAGACGCAAGAGGCAATATGTAGCAGTCGTGATCTGGACATCAATTTTTACTATGTTTTCAGTAGGTTATTGAAACAGTAACTGAGAAGGCTCTGCTTTGGGCAGAAGTAGTTGAACCCCAGAGTTCAAGTGACTGATCCTGATCACCTGAACACTAGTGTGAAGTAGTATAGTTTAGTGTGGCATTCACTTTCCCTAGCTGTGGAGGTAGGGTCAAATTAGACATCCTTAACCCTCCATCCTTAACCATCTGTACTGGGATCAAGGAGCTCTCAGGATCTTTACGCCATTAACAATCTCAGTGATAACAGCACAAACAAGAGAGATTTCTAATTGGGAAAAGCAGCAGCCCTCAGTAGCATGCATGTGACCCCCCCCCCCCCCCATGTATGTGTACACATGCATACACACACCAACAACAGGATTAGTGCTATCATGTAAGTGAGAAATGTTGGGAGGGCAGAGCAAGTAGGATGGCAGTGCTTCTGCAGCATGAAGCCTCCTGAGCAGTGCTGGGTCAGCCAGGGCAGAGGAACTGCAGGTGCCCTGGAGGGCTTTGGGCAGGCAGACAATGGAGTCTTCTTGTAGGAATTTACTGTAACAGCAACCTACATAAGGTCAAGGCCTGAAGCAATTTCTGTCAAAACATTCTTGCCAGTGAAAGAGCCTCCTCAGGCTGGGATCCAGCCCAGCTTACGGAAAAGTCAAAAGCAGTATTGTCAGCTTGTCCCCAGGCACAGACTAGGGTCACCTCTGGGGGTCGGATTGTTGGATTTCGATTGGATGTGGATGTTGGAACAGTCAACTTAATCTGAGAAAAAGAGGGCAATCATTTCTTCCTTTTCATTTGCAGGCTGGGATTCTCTGAAAATGACAAGGAAATCTTCACTGCTTCTCCATAATCCCTCAGAAAAAAAGAGAAAAATGGCTTCTCCAACATTTATGATAGTAGACATGAGTGCTACAAAGACAGTGAAACCCTTGTCTTAAATCTTCGTGTCTCAAGCCTCTGTAGCTTAAATGAAGTTATTTGAACTGACGTCTACATTTTCCTGGTTGTTTTCTAACCTGTTCAGTTGTCCCTGGCAGAGACTTCATTATTTTTTACCCTCCAGCTTGTTCTGACAGTAGAGAGATTTGATTGCCATGGATCTGCTTTTATATGAATTTTTTTTTTTAATGAACTGCTGTAAAATTGCTATGGAACTGCTTTTATATGATTTTTTTTTTCTTAATGACCTGCTGTAAAACTGCTGTGGAAGTGCTTTTATACTGCCCTCTCTTTGTTAAGAACACATGAATACTTGTTGTTCCAAAGGGTCTGATAATAAATTTTAGTTACAGACAGATCATTATGAAGGGCAGCAGCTAATCCTGCCCATTCTGTCTTGGAAGTTCTTAACTGCACAAAGCAATTACTGGAAAAAGTCTATCAAGTCTTCCTGTGGAAGGGCTTTTAGAGTAGCAGCCAGACCTGATTGAAGAATTAGATACACAGCTTTGAAGTCAGCCATTCTAGTTAGATCACAGTAGTAGCTGCACTGGGTTTCTTTTTATTTTATACTTGGAGGCAAACTTTTTTTAGTCAATTATTATGTGACTTGAGGGAATATATAAGGGAACCTCGTAAGCACCCATTGCTAACTTATTAATACTCTTGTAAATACCCTGACTTTGCTGCGATGGAGGGCTAATATTCTCGACAATAATAATCAGATGAAAAAGAATAATCCATTTTAAATTACCAGCTAAAAAGTGTTGGATTTTTTTTCCAAAGAATGATTGTTTAATTCCCACTGGAAATTTGGGAATTTGCAGTTAGGTGGATGTTCAGCTCATTTGCAGCTGCATGGGCAACAATTTGGCTGTATTCAATACTCCAGTTATGAGAGAATGAACACCCAGACGAAAGCAAAATATGTACTTCAGACTTGCGGTAATGCACGTATCTCTTACATCAGAACTAGTGGTATTCAACTGTATCAACATCTAACATAAAATGCTTCTAGCACTGCAAACTGTACAGTAAGTAGCAGCAGGGTAAGATATTTAGAAAAAAAAAAAAACAATATATCAGTCGATTTTTTTTCAAGACAAAATTAATATTTTGCCTTGATATTCCTTTACCAGATTGTTTTGAAAAGCTGATTTCTTCCTGTAGGATTTGAAGAATGCATTTAAAGTTTTTATTGCTTAGTTACTATTAAGTTGCAAGAAGTAATGAAGAAATTAATGATGTTTAAGAATGGAGCTAGTCTTTTGAGAATGATGTTTAAGAATAGAGCTAGTTCAAGGTGGCATGGGTGTTCAGAGATGCGTGGTAAAAAGGCATGATTATAAAATAGGGACTGTTTGTATCTTCACACTTGTTTTTCCCTAGGCTTAAATATAAATCATATCACCAATCTACTTAAATGATAATCCCACATTTTTATGGACTTGTGGATATTTTTTGCAGACAGAAGGAAAAGAAGGAAAACTTAATCAACCCATACTCCTGCTAAACATCTTGGAGAATCGTGCTATTGTCATGCCTGCAAACTATGGAGCTGTTTGTTTCAAAGACGTTAGAAATATTTGAAAAAAAATTTTGGTTATTTGGTTGAAAAATAGCTTGTGTTGGGTAGATATTCAAAGTGGAATGTCCCTACAACTGCTAAATATTCCTGAAGTGAATGGTGCTATTTCATTGAAAAACTGTGTTCTATTCAGACTCCAGGTCAGCCATGGGGAAAATAGAGGCTAATCTTTAGGCAGACAGGGTCTACTGAGAGAGATGTTGCTATGCTGGATGAAAAAAATGAAATACTTTAAAGTTACACTGGAAACTTAACTCTTTTATTGCTCCTGTATATGTCCTTTCTACTTTTCAGGGTCTTCTGACTCTGCTTATGCTGACATCTGCCTCAGCTTGGCAGATGAAGGACACACAGAGCAGTATCTAGTTTGACAGCTTTTTCCATATTAATACTATTAGTGGTTGTACCTAATGATTGATGGGGCTTGGCTGTCCTTAGTTCATTGTTGTTTTCTTTTTTCTTTTTTTGTTTGTGTGTTATTGCCTTGTGAATTTACATTTCTGCCCTATCAGAGACTGGTATCTCCTATTTTAGTGGCTTAAATCAAATAAAAGGTGTATAATTTAGTTCTTGTTGGACATATTGATTCTGCAACCCTCTTCATCCATAATCTGTATATTGGCATCTTCATTGCCATAGCCAGACTCAAATGTGACTTGGCAGCTCACCTTTTAAATGGCCAATTTATTAATTTGAAATTGATGGTAAGAATACTAAAGGCTAACAGTGGGTTGCATTTACAAATTTAACAACTTGTCTCACACAGGGCTTTTGGATAAGGCAAATTTAAATTTGATCTAACCCATTTAAAACGGTATTCAATCCTAAATAAGGTGTCTGTAAGAGGAGGTACTTCGAACTGTACCTTGTTGCAAAGAAAGATTCCTGTAAGGAATATTAACTGACTTGAAATCTAGACATAACAGGCAACTCTGGTAGTGGTGTTTATGACAACGTGACCGTCTGGCTCTCCAGCTGCAGAAAAGAGATCTCACCCTGACAACAGGATAAGGAATTAGGCTGCAGAGCAAGGACAAAGCTCACTCCATGCTAGCATACAAGAAACCCTTTTCTGAAGAAGTGTTCCTGAACCTGAATTGCATGTGCTGCTTGTTAAATAAAATATCCTGGGCACACCTGGAACAGAGCTGCAGGTTTGATGTTATAAACTTCACTAAGTAAGGAGTTAATATTGAAATGTAGAAGTTAAGAGTTTCATCAGTATTTGTTCCTTACAGCCTATGCATTTTGTTAGAGTATTAAGATGCTGTGTCTACAATGGGAATATCATTCATTTAAAACACTGCAACTGGAAATAGATGTAGAGACTTGATTTTGACCACAAATAATTGTGAGCTGAGATTTGTAGTAAAATACTGTGGAGCCCCAAACACACCTTTTCATGTTGGGGTGTATTATTCTTTGTGCAGGTGAAAGTGAGTCTCCCTGAAATACAGTTTCCTCATTCTTCACACGTTGGAGGGAGGTGTTTTCCCACATTGACAAGGAATAGGGTGGCAGAAGACAAATGAAGCTCCTCAGAAAGTTAAAGCTTACCTGCAAATTTTTGCAGGAGGTCAGAACAGCAGAATGGGCAGGAGACTACACTCAGATTAGGGAATTATGAAATTGTGGGGTTTCAGTTTTGTCTGGGAGCTTCTGTTAAGACTTTTTTATAAGAATATTCCGTGTTTACTTCTGTTTTGGTTTCTTTTTTGTTTGTTTCTTTTTGTTTGTTTATTTCTTCAAGGAACATTTTTGAAGTAAAAGATCAGCTTTATATTTTCAAAGCAAACTTCCAGAACAGTCATTGCATTCTCAGCATCCTCAGTATGAGAAATTGAGGCACTGTGATTTAAAACAATAAGGGAATATTCATGACACCAAACTGGAGACTCATAATTTAACCAGTTAAATTAGGTGCTGTCTTTTTAGGCCCTGTTTAGCAGAGAGCAATACTTAGCCTGTATTGCTTGGTCACCTCAGTCCGCTTTTTGAGTTCCTTAAGAGAAAGATACTAGGGAAAGGCACAGAAATATCTTAAAAGTTTGGGTGAGGCACAATTAAAGGTTGTAATGGACAAATCTTGCCTTTCAGAAATTTTTATCTTTAAATAAAACCAACATGCAGTTCTTCTGCAAATCAAGAAAAGTAATTTAGAGGGGTCAAAGGACTTAGGCAAAGAAATGCTCACAATTTTACCCTCAAATAAATATGGAGATTTCAAGGATACTGCTTATGTGATTTTTATTTTTTTTTTCTCTTCCTCGGTCTGATGGAAATTAAAAATAAAGCAAATAGCCCACATATACATGAACAACTCTGTTTGCTGAGTATTAAGGAATGAATTTGAATTTAAGTAGTATAAGAAGGTAAACGTTTCCTCATTTTTACCTGTGGTTAATTTACAGATGGGCATATGCAACCTGTACAAGCTGATCTTTCCACTGAACCACTGACCTTCATTCTTGGCAAAGAAAAACAAAAATCCCTGTGGAGGTTATTTTGAGCATGTGATGCCAACCTCGGAAACTCCAGAATTTCATCATAGATTTGGTCAGATTTCAAAAACTTGGCTTTAGCTACAGTTGTTGAGACAGAAGCAGAATCATCCATTTAATGCAGATGTGTAGAAGGTTCCGAAAGGTGGGATTATGAACTTCAGTTTTCTGGCAGTGCCTGAATTTTTTATCTGAATAGTGATTAAAATTGGTAATTTATCTGTATGTCACAGTCCTAGTAAATAAGTTTTAGATTTGTATGTGCATTAAAGGAAACCTTTTGTACTTTAGTTATGTTCTTCTATGCAAAATACTCATAATTTTTCTGGCCCTTAAGAAAAAGAAGATTCTGGTTATTACAGGTGGTTTTAAGTTGCCATACAATGAAAACTGTAATTTAGAGTGAGTGTGACTCTGTCAGTGCTCAAAATGCAGAAGAGATTTTTTAAGAGTTCCCAAGCAACTGAAGATATATCAATATTTCATAGAAGTCTTTACAGTTGGCAAGTTTACAGGTGGCTTTGCATGTCTAAAGCATACACCCATGATGTAATGGATGTAGGCTTGGAAAAAAAACGTAACTGCAAACTTCAGTTGGGTGGGTTTTGTGTGGCCTATATTTAAGGTTCAATTTTGTTCTTATTTCTCAATGAGACTTACAGATACAAAATATTTACAGAACTTAAATAAGCAAAAGTAGAGCTGCCTGTGCTGGTTAATCTATTTAGATAATGGTAACAGTTAAAGGTTATCTGTAACTTTATACATCTATTGTGCTTTTAATCATTGAGGAATGTGACTTATCCTGTCTGGTGATAGGCTGGGAGGAAGATAACATAGGGAGCTAATTTTGTGAAATTTCCATTTGGACAATACTGAAACTGCTTGGAAATGAGACGCAAACATCCCCTACCTCCACTGGTGACCAGGCAGTCCTTTTCATCTCTAGCCGTATGTGCCATACTTTGTGTTAAAATTGCATTTCCAAGGGAACTATGGTGGGTTAGCAGAGCTTATCCACAGACACATCAGCTCTGCTCTGATACCAGTGACCTAATCCTCTCTTATCTGTGTTGTACCAGTTTAGCAATTGCTGTGCAGGGG